CTTCAATTGGAGAAAACTCCCCACGCGCCCTGCGGGCGCGGCGAAAAGGAGGTGCGACAATGATAACACCATCTGCCTTGTACAAAACCTCCAAACCTAAGAAATAGTGCAACTTTTCGAGATCCTTGATCTTGAACTTATTGTGTAGGAAAGTCTTCAGCTGGTCCATTTTTGATTGGTCTTTCCCTATAAGTAGAACATCATCAACATAAACTGCTACATATGCAACTGAGTCCCCCTTCCTCTTAGAAAACAATGAGTAGTCATTCATAAATTGTTCATATCCCCTTGAACACAATGCCTCAGTTAATTTTTACACCATTTTTTGCTTGCCTGTTTCAAACCATATAGAGATTTATTCAATTTACTGGCCAAACCTTGACTATCCACCATAAGTTCTGGTGGGACTTTCATATACACCTCTTCATGCAAGTCACCATGAAGGATTGCATTATTTACATCCAATTAGAAGATGTTCCACTCACTCTTTACTGCAACTACAATAAGTGTCCTAACTGTATTCATCTTCACCACCGGAGAAAATGCTTCTGTGTAGTCCACTCCTACTTGTTGTGTGTAGCCTTTCACTACTAACCTAGTCTTGAACCTTTTAATAGTTCCATTTGCTTTGTGCTTCACTTTATAAACCCATCTACATCCTATTGCCTTCTTTATAGGAGGCAGAGGTACCAGGTCTTATGTATTATTGGCATAAAAGGCTTCAAACTTCTGAACCATAGCTGCTTGCCAAGCAGGGTTAATAGCAGCTTCCTCAAATGAAGATAGTTCACTATCATTGCATATGCTACTTACCAAAGATTGACTGTCATGAACCAAGGTATTAGCAGAAATATGATGATGTTTAGGGAAAGAGGCATTCAAGGAGAAATCAGTATGGTTATGTCTGTCTGTATGTTCATGAGGAGTTGGTCTATGCACAAAATATATATAATCTTTCAAGTATACAGGTGTTTTGTGTTCTCTTAGTAACTTTCTTAAATTTTGGAGTTGGATTAGGTGTGTGATGTGTTAGAGGTGAATCAGTGGTGTGTGGGAAATATGCATATTGTGATTGTTGTAAGCCTGCATTGTTTGGTGCATGTGAAGGAGGTAGAGGACCAGGAGAGGAACTCGTAGAGGAAGGTGACAATATATTGGATATAGTACCTACATTCCTTTGATCACTTATAGTACCTTCTTAAGATGACATTGTATTAGTATCAATCATGTGACTAATAGGAAATGGATGAAGAGTTGAAGGGAAAAAGGAAGATTCAAAACTAATATTGAAGGGGAAAATAGACTCATGAAACACTACCTCCCTGGAAATGTGGATTTTCTTGGTGGCTAAATTCAGCACTTTGTAGCCTTTCGTGCCAAAGGGGTAGCCTATAAAAATATGTGGTGTTGTCCTTGGTTCAAACTTATCTCTATGGACTTTTGGTATTGTTGGAAAACATAAGCATCCAAAACTTCTTAACTGAGAGTAATCTGGTCTTCTATTGTATAAGACTTCAAAAGGAAACTTGTTCTTAAGATAGGTCGTAGGTAATATATTTATAATGTAAGTGCCTGTTAGAATACATTCCCCCAATTACTTCAAAGGCAAATTAGAATGAAACAATAAGGCTCTGGCTGTTTCAAGAATATATTTGTATTTCCTTTTCACCACTCCATTTTATTCTGGTGTATAGGGGCAAGTCTTTTGGTGAACAATTCCTTTTGAGTAAAAAAATACGGTAGCTTCAGTATTAATAAACTCCAGTCCATTATCAGATCTTAAGGACTTGATGGAGGTTTTGAATTGGTTTACAACTAAGGAAACAAAAGCTTTGATAGTCTGGAGGGCATTGATTTTACATATTAGCAGGTGAGTCCAAGTGGACCTGCTAAAGTCATCAACCATAGTAATGAAGTGTTTGTATTTATCATGTGTACATTCATGGTAAGGACCCTACTAATCCACATGCAAGAGTTCAAAGATTTTATTTGAAATACTGATTCTTTGAGGAAAGGGAGCCTGGCCTGTCTAGCCATAGGACAAATTGAGCAAACAAAGGATTGCTTAAGGGAAAAAGTTGGTATGAAGGATATTCCCCTCATTTTTACAAAAGGCACATGTCCTAGTTAGGGGTGTACAAAGGAAACCGACAAATCGCACCAACCCGATAATCCGAGTCAAACCGAGAAAAAAAACCCCCACTATGGTTTGGTTGGAAAAAAAATTCGACCATAATTGGCTTAGTTTGATTTTAACTAAAGAAAGTCAAACCGAAACCAAACCAACCCGACATTACATATATAGAAATTTTAGATATATTTAATATATAAATATACTTATTGTGATGTAATTTATAAATATTTCTTAAAAGATTTCATAATTTTATCTTTTGAGGTATTTTTTCAAGGTTGGACTTAGAACTTTTGAATGTTCCAATAAGTTTTATAGCCATTAACATTAGTAAATTAAATAGTTTTAACAAAAGCCCAAACCAAAATCAAATCAATACTAATGCTAACAAAAGAAATTCAACTCAATACTACGAACGAGAATGTATTGAATATCTATTTTTTGTTTTGCAATAATTTAGATAAAAATGCATAACATATTTTTATTTTTTCTTAGCGTTTAGTCATGTAATTAATACTCCCTTATTAGTCTACTTATTTTAACATGACTTAGTACTTTTAGATTATGTTTATTTTATTATGGATTTTAATTAGCGATATTTATAGAATATAATTTTATTTTCTTTATTGTTGAATATTTTAGGATAATGCCATGACATATCTCATATTTTGTATTATTTTCTTAGAAAATACTTTATATAGTTGTATCTTAATAGGACTAAAGAAATATTTTGAGCACAATTTATATGTTTTGTTCTACGAAGATTTTATCAGGAAAAAAACCCCGAAAAAATCCGAATAACCCGAAAACCCGAGAAAATTCGAGAAAAACCGAGAGTGAAAAACTCGAGTTTTATTGGTTTGGTTTGGTCTTTAGATTTAATAACCCGACACAATTGGTTTGTTTTGGTAATTGTAAAATCCGAACCAACCCGATCTATGTACACCCCTAGTCCTAGCCTATCATGCCACAGAAGGTTAACATTATTGACTTGAAACATGCATGAATTGAATCCAGAACAATGACTCTTATTATCCAGGTATGGATTATTTACAATTGAATATTGATGATTCTGCAAATGACTCAAGGATGATCTATTTACATATGGAGATGGATGAGAATGCAGGTTATTCAGAAGAGGACTATTTACATCACATGAATGAGTAGAAGAACAAACAACAGAGTTGTTAGCTAAACTATTGTTTCTCAGACATTGAGAGCATATCAGGTACAGTCCATCCTTGACTTTACCAATCTCTAGAGGCCTCTTCAGTGAAGGGGCTTGCAGAAGACAAGTATTGTCAGTGAAAGAAGTCATACCTCTCAAATGTTTGCTCAACCAATATACAGAAATAAGATTGAATTTAAATGAAGGAATGTGAAATGCTTTATATAGAGTGATCTTAGGTGCAAGTTTTACATTTTCAATTTCTATCACCTTCACTTTATAACCATTTGGTAAAACAACTAATAAGGGATAAGGTAGGATTTTGATGTCAGACAATAAGGACTTGTTAAAGGTCATATGGTTTGAGGCTCCTGAATCTAGTATCCATGTGTCAATCTTTGATTCAAAGCACCTACATGAGAGTTTACCAAAATCAATAGAAGATGTGCAAACAATAATACCTACAAAGTTTACAACATTGGTAGGATTTGAGTTGTTTGAGTTCTTTCCATCATTGCCAAGTTGAAAATGCTGAAGTAGATTAACAAGTTGTTCGTACTGATCCTTATTCAAATTTACATTCTGATTCTCATCTTGGGCATCACACTCATCAAGCTTGCTTGTCATTGCATCAGTTGACATCCTTTGTACATTTGCTAACATCTTATTCCCTCTATTGTGTCTGAAGTTTTGATTGGAGTTCTGGGCATTCTGAGGGTATCGTGTATTTTGATTAGAATTCTATCCATTTTGTGAATAACCGTATAGCTTATAACACTTATCCCTTGTATGGCCTGGCCTCTTACAAAAATCACACATAGGACGCCCTCTGTTGTTCCTAGAATAGTTGTAACTTGGTGAGAAATTTGTTCTAAAAAGACTTGGTCTTGAATTGCTCACATTCAAAGAGGTGGACTTAATCGACAACTTTTATTTGGCTTGATCTCTCTTTGCTTTTCATCCTGGATAAGTAAGGAGAAGGCTCGAGCCAACGTAGGCAGTGTATTCATCATAAGAATACTCCATCGAATGATAATGTACACTTCATTGAGTCCCATGAGAAATTGTATCAACCTCCTATCTTGTTCAGATTTGTACATGCTTTCCTTTGGGCCACAATTACAAAGGCAGCTACATTGAGTCCTCTTGTTCAGAGTATTCAGCTCTTCCCATAACTTTTTCAGCTTAGTATAATAGCTAGTGACGTCAAGGGCTTTTTGGGAGAGATCCTTGATTTCTTTCTGAATTTGATACAATCTAGCTCCATTGGTTTGTTCATAGCGATCCTCCAACTCCTTCCACCACTCAACAACATCACTCGCATATTCTACACTATCCGCAATTTCTTTGGAAAGAGAATTCAGAATCCATGAAGTGACCATGTTATCACATCGTTCCCACTGCAGATAGGTTGGAGATTGGGGATTTGGTTGCTTACATTCACCACTCACAAAACCTAAGTTTGTTCTTTACGGATAAGCCACGAAGACACTACGTCTCTGGGATCTATACCCTATCCTATCGAATAGAACAAATACAAACATCACACCAGGATTGTCGGATGGATGCAGATACAAGAGACCACTTGGGTTGATTCCCGTGCTCGGAGGCACGGTGACACCCGTACTAGTATTAGCCGTATCTTGTTGGTCGGTAATAGCCATTAGAACGCAGAATTAGTTGATTACTGATAGAGGAAAAACAATCGAAACCAAAACTTTTAGAGTTCTATGCGGTAGATTACTGACGTACGAAGAACTGATCGAATTAGGGTAGATCGATCAAATTAGGTCAAAAAACTAGAAAAGAGAAAAGAGGATTAGGAAATGAGTGAGAAGAGACGAGAAGGATTAACTTTGCTCTGATACCATGACAAGATTGTGACTGATACTAGCTTAGTGGATCTCAACCTCAGCTCCAATGGCTGAATCTGGAAGCTTCTGAAGAGTCCCTGTGTGTGAGAGAGAGAGGGNTGAAGAATGAAGCTCAATTATATTGAATATGTACAGTAACATATATATATACACGCAGAAAGAGTGACAGCGGTACACCTTGACTACTAACTGTTGTTAGCGGTATCCCAACTAACTAACCAACTAACTCTACCTTTAACTAACATACAAAAATGAACATAAAAGAATAAATACAATCTCAATAAAACTTACAAATAAATTAGAAAGACGTGAAGCTATTCATATTTGAATACTTTTGAATTTATCGCGCCTGTGAGTTGAATGGTCACGCTTAGCACTGTTGAGCCTGTGAAGATGCAGCAAGATGAGACATAAAGGTAGCATCAAACTCCAACCACATGCTCATGTGCTTTAGTTTGGTTTAATTTCTTTTTGTTCTCATTTATTTCCTACCAAAAAGTGTCTCTCAAATGCAGTACAACTACATTCAATTATTTATGCTTTTGTCTGTCCCTGTTCATTTTTTAATGTACTTTTTCTCCCTATAATGCACCCTTTGCTTCAAAGCAGTTGTTTGTGCTAACCTATGAAATTTCACCAAATGATAATTTAAATTAAAAATAGCCAACAAATGTATAAGTTATATATAATCTATGTATAATATGTATATAATCAATATATAATATATGTATATCGGTTAGGAAAAGTAAACTATATAATCGAAGGGCTATTATTACTGTTATTTCATAAACGAATCCTTCTCGAATTTTCTCATTTTTCTATGTATATATGTAATACATTGTGAAGTATAAGATGCCAAAATATGTAACACACAATGATGGGTAGACTAAGATTGAGTAATAAAGTCGTGAAGGTACATAACAATTTTAAAAGACTAAAAGGAGGTGGCAAGATAGTAATGGATAGCACATGGTGGATGCTAAAACAGGAGAAAAAATTTGAGCACTCAGAACAAACAGAAAACAGATGGAAAGAAGATGACAAAAATAAGTCTAACATTCACGGGTAACAGAAATTGGAATTAACCATTAAAAGGAGCTAGCAGTCCTTTTTTCACATGCCAACACTACTGAAATCAAATAATTCACGCCCTAAATTCAACTGTTTCTGTGAAGTAAGTATGTCCCTACGTCCACCACCTATTTTAAGAGTTTGTGCACTGGCAGTATATAAGTTTTTTTTTTTTTTACATTATAACATTAAGTTGACCTACAATAACAGATAATTATTTAATAACAAGTTTGATATAAAAATCTGTTATAACAGATTAAACTGCACTAATAATATCAAAACAATTACACTAGTGATATATATAACTTAAATTCTTAGTATTTCTTTTACCCGTTCCCTCTTCCATACCGTCAAGGGTGCTGGTTTGAATTGATTTCTCATTGTACCATAATGTATTTACTCTCAAATTCTTCTAGTTTGTATCTGCAAATATTCTTGGTTTTATTGTGGTGTATCCACACATTGGAGTTTCTTGAATTGGCAAGTGCAGCTACTCCAAAAGTGAAAGTTGGGAATATATCAAAAGTGGAAGATGCTTCATATTTTAGGATATACTATGGACAGACCTTCAAGGTTATCAAGAACACTCTTGATGGCAAGAGTTATCTTCTTATCCAGGTACTCTAATAACTACTACTACTAGTTTGCTTAAGCCATAATATTGGCACAATGATCTCTGCTTATTGCTATTCCTTCTCAGAAGTCAGTGACAGTTGAATTAATTAATCAAGACTAAATGTTGATCCTTAATAACTGTGTTTTCGTCGTTTAGTCCATTGCTAGAACATGCTCTAGTTTTGTTTAAGGAAGGGCAAGAAAAAGGATTTAAGTTATATATAATGATAATTTAAAGTTTTTTTTTACACTATCAGGTGTATATTTAACCTATTATAGTAGGTTTCTTATCGTTTTTATCGTGTTAAAAAATAATGAATATCATAAAATTCACTAGTAATTACCTTAAAATCGAAAAAGAAGAGGCTAGTCCTGTTTAAAATTTTGGTACTTGAGTGATTTCAAGGCTAAGATTACTCTGAAATGAATATGATAAGGGTTGCTGGACCACAAATATTGGACCTTGGATGTAGTAGGGCCAAAGGTGAAAAAAAGAGAGGGTTCTTTATCATTTGATCCTCTGTAATTGGAAATCCAAGAACTCACAAGTCCTTCTTGGTTGCTGAATTCCATGGCACAAGTTCCTTTGTGAGTTTTGTTTTGAGGGGTGCCAGGAGCTTTTCTTTTGGGGAATGGTCACAATCTGGGAAAAAGTAAAAGTGTTATTACCTAAACTATTCCATCGATTAATACAAACCATATTGTTTTGCTGAGACCATTTTCCAGCTTGACAATAATTCTAATGGTGTCATGACAACATGTGACTTCCTAGGTGAATCCCACATCGACAAAACACGGAAGAAATGCTGGGTATATAAGTAAACAAGCCTTAGACCCTACTGATCGTTTTAAAGCCGTAGAGGCTGGGCCCAAAGCGGACAATATTACTAGTGGTCTGGGCTGCACCAGAGCATACCTTTGCAAACCAAGAACTCATAGAGTTATGATACATAGAGGTAATCCATGATTTAATTCGATATGAGTACCACAGTCCACAGGTCTCACTACTCTTTTGGAATAATGCTGCTGATGTACTAGGACTATATCTACTCTTTAAATTCTTACAACCAGATATATATTGCTCGAGTCAAATATAGTAGATGTACCCCATCTACTTGTCGATAATATGCATCCAACCCTGCATACAGAAAACTAGCTAGAGCTATTATCTACTCTATAAAAATGGTTCTTGTGAATTCCAGCAAGCTGCAAGTTATCAGTTTTTTTCTGATTTAAGAATATGATTCCAGCAAACCAGCTCTCTTTTGAATTAGTATGTAAAATTGTGTGCAGAACAACACGAGAATGGCCAGCAGAACAAAATATTGCACCTCAAGAATAAAATCTTTCGTTATCCCACTAGCAAACTACTCGATCGAGACTGATTACTATTTTCCAGGTACCATTTTAACCACCTCAACTTTCCTCTTTGTAATATCTTGTAAGCTTTACATGTTTTTTCTATATGTTAATAACTCAGGTACTGACTTTGTTTCGTTTTTTTCTTTTCTGTTCTTTTTCCTTCAATTTTCAGTTTCATTTTTCGAGGTAAGAATGCATAACTTTATTACTACTATTGTCATAGCTGTAATACTAGTATTATGAATATATGTTTTGGTTAGAAAAATCCGGAAAAGGAAAATCTTTCTCTAGTTTGACAATTCTTGCATGGAATATTGCAGCTTCTAGGCATGTTGGGAAATTTGAAAGGCATAACATCAACATTTGTCGCCTCTCAATGCGTACTAAAACTATATCAGGATGGACAAATAGAGAGCATTAACAAGAGTGAGCCTCAACAACTTGCACAATATGCAGCTCACTTCATTGCCAACACTGATGAAACTCAACCCTGCAACTTTGCCACATTTGTCCCTATTGGTGAAGATGCACCTCTCCAGGTAACAACCCTTCCCTACACGGACAGTGTAAAGAATTTTTATATTATCAGTGTAATTTAACTTGTTGTAGCATGGGTGGTCTGCCTTATGTTTGGTAACTGGTTCTACTTATTATGGACAGTTATCTTTTAAATTGTCAGTAGAAGTTAAGCTTATGAGCTAAGGCTTTGTTCTGTTTTGTCGAGCTTTGCTTTGGTCACTGGTTGGATGGCCACACATAATTTGCATTTCTTTAACAGCGTGCAGAGTGGATAAAATACTTGGGAGTTTTTGCGAATTTGGAAAACAGGGCAAACCAAGTCTATGATGCAGTAAGTGAAGAATTGAGACATACTCCTTAGTTTTCATTATGATGAAAATATTTAGAAGAATTTCTTGTTTATTAAGGATTTTTTGTTTTGTGGACAGATTAAGGAGAACTATTTGTGCTTGAGCAAATCTGCAACTAGTAAGACTTCAGTTAAACCAACTGTATCTTGGATGGAGTATAAAGATGTGCGTACACTGACTCAAGAACTCAACCTTTTCTTTGAATTTGTTTTATAATCGCCCTTAACATACAAATATTTCCTTGTATAGGGAGTGTGGTCATTTACAAGAGAGCCATACAAATTAAAGGTTAGATCTTTATCACTTTCAACAGTTTTTTGGGTAATTCTCGAGTTTTAGCTTATATTAATCTTGACAATAACGGCTGCAGTTGGTGGAGGATGCTGGTGGAGTTAATGTCGATGATTCCATCAACAAAATCACATACAATATGTCCATTCCTGATGATTTAGAAGAGTTTCATGCCATTTTGTGTGTAAGTTAATTCTCTCATTGTTATTTCAATTTAGCTAACTTATTGCTTTTGATCATTTAAATTGTCATCTACTTTTTGCTGATTTAGATATTTGTTTTGTAGACTGTGGATGTAGTGATAGATGAAACATATACCTCAGATCCAGTGGTCTATAATGCTTCCACATTTCTTGGAAACATCAATTTGGAAGATCAATCTTGCTTTGCTTTTCTCTCAAATCAAAGCTTGTGGAGATATGATAAAAGGGTGCAAAACTCTACAGTCCTGGGTAGGTTCTAAAGTTTTTTTGTGTATGCATTGCCTACATGATCCTTTTCTATATTGATATTATTCAAGTAATATGTCCTTGTTATCTGAAGATAACGTTTTATTCTACACCAAATAGTAAGAAACTAGGGTTATTTTAGTTTTCATAAACGAGGAAGAAACATATCATAGTTTCATATAAGGTGTTGATTAGTCAGAGCTTTTCTTTTCAAGATTATTCAGAGTTGAATGCTTAATTGATTTAATTGGGCAATAACTAGTATAATAATTTAGAACCTTCCTTTCAAACTTTTTCTGGGATTGATGGTGTTTCCCTTTTGGTTGTTCAAGACTGGTATGATGGAGCTGTGTCTCAACCGCAACAGGTCTTAGCAGATATTATTGAAGCTTTATATCCTACAGGAAACTATAACACAACATATTTCAGAAATATTGCAAAGGTATGACACTTTTGTATTATACATTTTTCTTCTGCGTACTCTGGACAACATAAGAAAATTTTAGACGATCTGTTCAACTAAATGTAATTGTTCACACAAGTGAGATTAATTACCTGAAAAAACAAGGTGTACTGCTTGTTACAACCTGATAAAATACACTAATAGCGTAAAACCTAATGTATTGTTTGTGTATACAACCCACCTAAAAGGAGTGGGAAGCCACCCTAGTATTTTGACGTGTTACCTATTTCAGGGAGAAGGGATCATAAGCGTTGGTCCTGAAATGTGTGAAAGAGACAGCTCCATCGCAATGGAACCTACAGTTGTAGCTTGCCAGTAGCCGCTGCTCTATTCAGATTCTTTGTCCTGATTTTTGGTTCTTTTTCTTCACGCATTTTGGCCTGACAATTGTTCAAATTTATTGTACGTTCAGAACTGAATATTCTTCATCAGTTACAGAAAGGAAAAGTTGAAGCCATAAGCATTTTGGTTATTCAAAATATGATATACTATACTGTGTTCAGTTTCTAACCAAAATAACGGAATATAATGCCATCAGTGGATAATTCTGCTCAAGTATACTGAATTTCAGTTCTCACTTCTCAGTCCTGCTCTGATCAACAACAGTTTCTTGGTTGGATATTTGTATAATGACGTCCAACTCGAAATTAACCAACACACACAAGGCCATCAACCGCACAATAACTTAGGTGCGTCCAATATGGTGCACGTATCTACATTAGCGTGTTGACTAGGCAGCACAACTAAACTAAACAAGCTAAATCTATTCGCATAAATAGGTATGTTAGAGAGAAAAGCATGGTCAAAATACAACAACAACAACAACCCAGTAAAAATCCATTAAAGATGGTCAAAATATATGTTAAATCTAAAGTCTTGCATAATCACAAGCAAAAGTTCTACATCTTTAATGGAGTACATTATGTTATTATAGTATTAAAGAAGAAAGAAAAAAAAAAGAGCTATCATCCGTTGAAGACTAATTTAAAATTAGAGTAGAAAACTTAAATAGTTTAAGATTTGATATTTGGTGATTCTCTCCCGCTTTCGCGACATTATTCGCTTGGTAATGAGTTATTTAAGGAATCCAATATTCGGGAGGTTCGTTTGGCTACCATGTTCTAGACTTGATACACTTAAAAAACGAGGCCACATGGGTTTGATTTAACCAAATTCTTGGCTATTTTTGAACTAGGTTTGCCTGATTTTATCTTAGTCCGATCTGGAATGGGTTTGCATGTGATTCTTTCCTTGTTTGTAATTTAATTGGTGTTCTTTTATAATCAAAATTATATAGGAATAAATTTTCTAATTTTAAGTCAAAATAAATTTGCACTATTAATAGGGCGTATTTTTAGTAGTCTGCTTTCCAACATAAGTGAAAGTGAAGTGTATTGTTTCCTGCCGAATAAGAGCCCCTAATCGAGAATCAGAAGGAGAAAGACAGTCACACCATAAACCCTATCTAAATCAGCCGACGGACGGTATGAGTCGATCAGTTGACGACAGCGGAACCAAGCCAGATCCGTCAAAGAAGCCTGTCTTCCTTACTAAAGCACAGCGAGAGGAGTTAGCCCTTAAGCGCCGCCACGAAGAAATCGCCGAGCAGAAACGGCGGTCCGAACAGCTTCTCCAAGAACAAGGTAACAACCGCCCTTCCTCTACTGACAACGACCGTGACCATGACCGGGATCCTCGTGAGAGAGATAGGGATAGGGATAGAGGGGACCACCATCGCTCCAGAGACCGTGACAGAGAAAGAGACAGAGAAAGGGAGTCGAGGGACCGTGATAGGGAGGCGGAGCGTCGGAAGCGGGAGAGGGATCGTGACGAAGAGCTAAAAGAACGAGAGCGAGCTCGATTGGAGAAACTAGCAGAACGAGAGCGAGAGAAGGAGCTTGATGCCATTAAAGAGCAGTATCTGGGCTCTAAAAAACCTAAGAAGCGGGTGATTAAGCCCAGTGAGAAATTCCGATTCTCCTTCGACTGGGAGAACACGGAGGACACATCACGTGACATGAACGCTCTCTACCAAAACCCTCATGAAGCCCGCTTGCTCTTTGGTCGCGGATTTCGTGCTGGAATGGATAGAAGGGAGCAGAAGAAGCTTGCTGCTAAGAATGAACGGGAGCTCCGTGAGGAGATTCGCAAGAAGGACGGAATCGAAGAGTCTGCTATTGAAGCAGCTGCTTTAAAGAAGAAGGAACTAGATGCTGATATGTATGATACTTTCGACATGAGGGTTGACCGTCATTGGTCGGATAAGAAGCTGGAGGAGATGACGGAGAGAGATTGGAGAATATTCAGGGAGGATCATAATATATCCTATAAGGGGTCGAGGATACCCCGGCCCATGAGGAATTGGGCTGAGAGCAAGTTAACTACCGAGTTGCTCAAGGCCGTTGAGAGGGCTGGCTACAAGAAGCCTTCTCCTATTCAAATGGCTGCAATTCCGCTTGGACTTCAACAGCGTGATGTGATTGGCGTGGCAGAGACTGGTTCAGGTAAAACTGCTGCTTTTGTTCTCCCTATGTTGACTTATATCACTAGGCTTCCTCCGTTGAGCGAGGAGAATGAGGCGGAGGGTCCATATGCTGTTGTGATGGCACCTACCCGAGAATTGGCTCAACAGATTGAGGATGAGACAGTTAAGTTTGCGCACTATTTGGGTATAAAAGTTGTTTCTATTGTTGGTGGGCAGTCCATTGAGGAGCAAGGTTTTAGGATTAGGCAGGGTTGTGAAGTTGTGATTGCAACCCCTGGACGACTTCTTGATTGCTTGGAGAGGCGTTATTGTGTACTGAACCAGTGTAATTATATTGTTCTTGATGAGGCTGATCGAATGATTGACATGGGTTTTGAACCTCAAGTTGTCGGTGTACTGGATGCTATGCCTTCGAGTAATATGAAACCAGAGAATGAGGATGAAGAGCTTGACGAGAAGAGGATTTATCGAACCACTTATATGTTCAGTGCTACTATGCCACCTGCTGTAGAGCGGCTGGCTAGAAAATACTTGAGAAATCCTGTTGTCGTGACTATTGGCACTGCTGGAAAGACTACTGACCTCATTACTCAGCACGTGTTCATGGTTAAGGAATCCGAGAAAATGTATAAGCTGCAGAAATTGCTGGATGAGCTTGGAGATAAGACGGCTATCGTGTTCATCAACACTAAGAAGCAGGCTGATACTGTTGCCAAGAATCTGGATAAAAACGGCTACAGGGTAACCACACTGCATGGTGGAAAGTCACAGGATCAAAGAGAAATCAGCCTTGAAGGATTTAGGACAAAGAGGTATAATGTGTTAGTTGCTACTGATGTTGCTGGTCGTGGGATTGATATACCTGATGTGGCCCATGTGATAAACTATGATATGCCAAACAATATTGAAGCATACACCCATCGTATTGGACGAACAGGTCGTGCTGGAAAGACTGGTGTAGCCACAACATTCTTGACCATGCAGGATACTGAAGTCTTTTACGATCTTAAGCAAATGCTCACTCAAAGCAACAGTCCGGTCCCCCCTGAACTTGCCCGGCATGAGGCTTCGAAGTTCAAGCCAGGAAGTATACCCGACAGACCACCTAGGCGGCAGGAAACTTTATTTACTCATTAAATTGTAATTGATTTATGTTCTATCGTAGTGGTCAAGAGTTGAGAGTTTCTGTAATGGGATCTGCTGAAAGATGGAGCGAGCTGGGAATGATGGTGTTGGTAGATACAACGGAGGATTCCAACATAATGAAAGTGGTAAACACGTGACCAGTTATTTTGGATAAATAAGTTTCATTCTGTTACTAACAAGTAATGAGTTGTTAACTTTGCCGAACACATTTGCTTTCTTGTTCTGATTTGGATTATGGATAGCTAAGCTTTACTTAAGGTCTTCTTGTAAATTTTTGATGTCTTGTTTCTTATGATTCTATTATATATTACTTTATCTTAAGAGTCTCAGGAACTTAAATGGAGTGCCTTGGTTTGATGACAGGCCGAAGTATGACATTTGTTGCCATTAAGTAGCTAATTCCTTCAACGATAGGTAGACATGCCTATGAAATTATTTCTTCAACCAATCAGTTTCCGGTAAAAAAGACCAACTTCCTTTGTCCAGAAAAGCAACGTGTTATAGTTGTTTTACATTATTAATACAATTTTCTCATTTGCTTCAAATCCTTCTTCTAGCCTGCCATATAACTTTCCTAATTTGGATTATCCAGCAGTTCACTTTTCATCCAAATGCGAAGATCTCATGCTTACTCAACTACTTAACTGTGTGAATTTCCATAAAATGGATAGTGTAGAGATAAACATGATAGTGAGGAAAATAATTAGTGCGGTTCACTGACAAAGTGAAAATAGTTTACTCTCAGTAATCAGTCATTACCATTTAAATCATCTTTCTGTATTTTTTTTTGGAATACACCAAAATTTATAAGTTGGTGTTAATTCTGTTTAAGATTTTTATCGTCATATCGTATATCCGTATGTCCAACTTGTGATTTGAGAAGAATGGCTGTGTTTGAGTATTGCTTGAAGTTGAAATCTGTACTTTGTGAGTAATAGGGATTTACTTGCTGTGGATATCAATTGTTGTGCTAGTAAATTCTGGACTTTCAGTATTCAATGAAAGATTCAAGCAATCAAACTGGATTTCGGAAGCAAACAAAAACCATCAATGCTGGTTTCATTTATTTTCTGCCTTGAAATTGAATTACAAATCACACTTGAAAATTACACTCTCTTTATTTGTTGTTTCCTTCCACAATGGTAATCCTTCACATCTTGGACCCTTCAAGCGCCAAACAACCTGGAAGATTGGAACACTTCAAATTGTTAGTTACCTCCTCAAACGGGGAGGGAAAAAAAAAGAAATAGAGCATCCATGATTCATGCAGTAGCAATTTTATCTAATCTTACTTCTGCAACCTTGATTGTGAGCGCCTGGTACACAGAAATAATTAGTATGTCAGTACAGTTGTAGTAAAAGAAGTACAGGAGAAAACAATGAAGGAAGACTACCATAAACAAAGTAGGAGTAATAACAATCAAGCATAGGAAAGGGAAAATCCCAATTTATTGATTTTGTCAACTTGATTGACACAACTGGTGATTTAGAAAGGTGAACAGCAAAAGCTGCATGCTGTATAATTCTAATTTAGTACTAGAATATACTAGGGTCTCTTGAAAAACTGTAGGCAAAAGCTTTAGAGCATGCCTTTGTGATATCTGTGGCTTAACTTTCTCCCTCTCCTTTGGTCCTTGTGGTGTTTCGTCCTTTCTGATAGGCACATTTTTTACCTGCAATAAGTGCCATTAAGGAAGCAAAGGTTAAAAACAATTTTATTAAAAGTAATTCATCTCATAAAGATGTTTGTGGTATACTGTCAATGTCATGCAGCACTATACCAAGTTCCTAAACTCAAGATTGTAGAAAGTCTCGATGTATCTTTGCTTTGCTTGTTTCTGATCTCTGTACAATGTCCTCCAAAAAGTATAGATGGACCCCATATTCAATACCTTGTTTGCATAGATCTTCCATGTGTAACTGCAAAAAATTAGGATTTAAGGATTAAGAAATTTTCTGCAAGATATGTGCCTCTTTGCAATTTGAATGGCTTATCTGTGAGTTACCATTCATATATACGGTTTAGACCCTGGACTGAAATCCTGTTCCAATACTCAGGATCCTCCCTGCATTTTTGGAAAAAGTTGGCAATTTTGTTGCTTGATTCATCCCCATTATTTGGATCAATATGAAAGCCTGAGACCCCATCAACAATAATCTCAGCAGGGCCACCTTGGTTGGTAGCAAAGGTTGGTAATCCACAGTTCATTGCCTCAATGACTGTTAGACCAAATGCTTCATACAATGCAGGCTGCACAAAAGCTCCTTTGGAATCTGCTATTGTGCGGTAGAGTTCACTATTTCTGTATCTGTCAGTCTGAGCTGCTATCCATCTAATCTGACCCTTAAGCTGGTATTTCTCTATCAGCATGTGCATCTTTTTTATTTCAGCTGCTTCTTCCCTATCCTTGGATTTTGTAGGATCAAAGGAACCACCAACCACAACAAGGTTAACTAAGCTTCTGAGCCTCTTGTTCTTGCCATACCATTCTGTTAGTCCAGATGTGTTCTTCACTGTGTCCAGCCTTGCCATGGTAAACAGGATAGGTTTCTTTCTGTCTTCTAAATATCCACTGTTTGAAACAAGTGAAACATCAATACATAGAGCAGTGGGATGTTCTAGGCACTAAGCTGAAGTTTAACACTTAGACTTACACGTGCTCGTCATTGTCCACTTTACTAAAAAGCAGTTCCTCAATGGCAGGGCGGAAAGCAGTCAAACGCTTCTGCTTTTCTGTGTAAGGGAAATACACCGACTGGTCTGCCCCAGGTGCAGCAATATTAAATTTTGGATCAAAGACATTGATACCTGAAGCAACTCTGTAAAGCCCTGGAAGGGTAAATGCACTATGGCTCTCATACTGTCCTGGTTTATCTTTGCTGCATATGTTGAAGCATTCAAGAATGAGATCCATTAAGTTGCAAACTTTTGAGCAAATACATTTACTGAGTAGTGGTGTGTATTCGATGATGGTGAAAGAGCGATGCTGAAATACATATGAATGCATTACTTATTAGCTCTAATTCTTACCTTCCAGCTATTTCTTGGTATGTGCTAGTGATAATGAAATCTGCTGAATTCATTGCAATCAAATCAGCTGTGAATTGGCAAGAGAAGTGGTACTTCGGATCGAGTTCCTTCAATTTTATGTCAGAGTCTTCATATTTTGTCTTCTCCAAAGCATGAGCAATAGTTCCCTGTTGCAAAGATGGTCTAGGTCAGTGGAGATTAAGAACTAACTTGGAGAAGAAGCAACATCAAATATGATTAAGAAAAGTTACCAGAGTTATCCCAAGTTTTCTAGCCATTAGTGAAGCCACTAGATTCCCATCAGTGTAGTTACCAATGATTAGATCAGGTTTGCCTTCCATTAGCTCGACGATTTTGTCAGCAGCATCCTTTTGCCAAGGGGAAAAATGGAATTGAGGAAACAACACATCTTTGATGAGCAAGGTTGATATAAAAATACATACCTGAGTATATCTCTCCAGATATGGATAGATATCAAATCGTGAAACCCATTGATTAAGCACTCCTTTTTCTGTCCTAAATGGAACTCTGAGGATGTGTGAATGTTTTGTATTCTTGATTGGTTCTAGTTCCTGGTTGCACTTTGTTCCTTTTGCATCCGGAATCAGTCGGGTTAACTGTGCAATCAACATATGATATTAACTTTTCTAAACAGCCTCTACATAATTGCATAGTCACGTCGATTGTCTAGGAACTCACCACAAGAATTTGAGGCTTAATATTGAGCCCCTGCTGTTTAATTCTTTGTAGCATTTCTTCTTCAAAAGCTACAACTTGATCCAAAACATAAACTACCTGTTGAACAAGAGCAGAAGTGGTCAAACTGTTAAAAATTATTTTATTGTCAATGCATAGAAGTTAAATGTAAAAGCTATTAAATGCTTACCTGACCACCAGTGTCTGGCAAGCCAAGAACATCTGCTTGGCCAAAGTATCCATGGACAGAGAACAATACAATATTGAAAACAGTTGGAACCCTTCCAAAGAACTTCTGAATGTTCAATGGATCTGGTGCCTGAAGCACCTCAGACAGTGTTCTCATGGTGTCGCTGACCCTTTCAGCTGTATCACCCCATCCTTTCTCAAAACCCCACTGTTTGAATCTTTACAAGAATTGAAGTTACTTAGTACTACGTAGCATGGCACAAGTGGAGGGAAGTAGAGGAAAAAACAAATCACCTTAGCTCAAAGCTCTCATATGGTGTATCTGTTGGTAAAGAGGAAATAGATGCTTCTGCTACAACCAGTGCAGCCTGAAGCTTTGAGACAGTGCTGAGTGTCTCATTGATCATCAGTTTCTGCAGTTGAACATAAAGAAAATTTGTTACGTGAATCTTCTTTTCCTATTTTTTCTTCTTAGAGTTGACAAGTTTACTTATGGAGTTTGATTTTTGTTGACGTACATCTCCTTGATGATTCAAAGTGAGCAAGTAGTCAACCAGACACTGTGCACTCGCGGAGGTAGCATTTAGCTTTGAAGTTAGAAACTTGGAAACATAACTGAGACCATTGCCAATTGAAGAGGATAGGGTCAGTCGAGGCGTTGAGAAGTCTACTGCTCCAAAATCAATTTCCAGTGCATATTCATCTTTTGCCCTGCATTTCATGTTCACACAAAGGTAACTCTGATGAGTTTTCTGATTGAAGTTATAAAACCACAAAAGGTATGATAAGCTGCAACGTATACTATACCAGCATTCATCAACTATCATTTCCTTGAATTTCAAGTATTCTGTAGCTGTAATACCCTCAACAGAAAGATCATTAGCATTCACTTTCACATATTCCCAGAATCCAGGATTCTGTCTCGTGGCAAAGGCAATGTAGGGAGGAACAACTGCAGCCTCCTGTAAATTTGATCAAAGAAGGTTTTAAGAGTAATACATCAGGAAACAATATAAGGGCATCATAAGTACATATGAATCTAGCTATACCATTGTAGTGCATAATATGTAGCCAAGTAAGCCTTCCAAAACATGGTTCCTTTCAGCAGGATCATCAATTACTTTCTCCAACTCATCCATCAAGTTATGAAGTTTCATCATCCTCTTTCCTTGCTCTATGTACTTGGCAAAACATTTCTTCATGTGGTACCGGCTTTGCCTTAAGGCCTCTGGCATGCTATCAGCTATGGACTCTGATCTATTTAGGGCTGGTGCAGTAGCCATTTTTGCAAGTTCTAAAAGCTTAAGGTATGGATATGTACAGAAAGAATTGGTTTGATTGACTTGGGATTCATGTTGAGATTTTTTGGAATTTATAGGTAATAGCAGGAGACAAAAATGAACTCATACAAGGAAAAGAGGAATGAAAGAAGGAGAAAGAACAAACTTTCTACTAAGAAAATGAGCAAAGAAAGGAATTTTTTGTCATTTGTGAGAATGGTCGAGGTATAGGTATCATTCTTTTCTTTGTGTCTGATTCTTGATCACAGCCATGAGAATATTCACTATTTCCCGACAATAATAAACTGTACCAAATGAGAAAGACTACGAGGAAACCAAAAGGAACATTAAAATAGCAATCTTGATGATCAGGACAGGCAAGAAGTGAACCTTTGTATCCTCATTTCCTCACTTTACAAAAACGTCCCATGAAGCAACTCTTCATTTCAAATTCATTTTCCTGGCTTAAAGGTTAGGCTTTCAAGACTGCATCTTTTTTGGTTCACTTGTACCACCTAAAATTATACTATGAGGATTGAAGTTAGACGCACTTATTGTTTAAAGAATTTTTATACTATTAGTGTAATTTAACATGTCTGTTGAAAACAGCTCTCTATCCTCTCAAGGTAGGGATAAGGTCTGCATACACACTACCCTCCCCAGGTCTCACAGTATGGGATAATATTGGGTATGTTGTTGTTGTTGTTGTTGTTGTTGTTGTGTAATTTAACATGTTAAAGCAAGTAACTTACTATTTTTTTAGGTTACCAATTAGTATAATTATAAAAGGTTACCTATAATTGCTCTTTAAGTGATTTGATTATGTATAATTATTTTTACACAGTCAATACATAAATTACTAGTCCAACCAAATAGCAATGGCCATGAAGTTGCTAGAATAGACACTTACATTTTGGCTGCAATTGTGACATCTTGTTCATTAGATTGTCCCTTATGAACATAGTGACAACTTTAAAAGTTTCGTAAGCATTTTGTTCTTGTCTTTTTAAAAATATATGAGCATTTTGCGATTAACCATGACATCTTGTTCATTAGGTTGTCCGATGTCACTTAGCTGTTTTATAAAAGCATTTTTCTCTAGCTTACATATTATATAGTAACAACAACAATAAAAACACCACCACCAAATCCAGTGTAATTCACAAGTGGGGTCTGGGGAGGGTAGTGTGTATGCAAACCTTACCCCTACCTTGAACGTAAAGAGGCTATTTTAGATAGACCCTCGGCTCAACCAGGGGCGGATTTAGGAGGGCGTAAGGGTGTTCACCCGAACCCCCTTCGCCGAAAAATTATACTATATATATAAGGCATAATTTATTTTTTATATATACATATATTATGTTTTGAATCCTCCTGACATAGCTTAAAAGCATAGCTTAGTGGTCTAAGGGGTTCAAAACTTTTGTAAGGTCATTGGTTCTATTCCCACTACATATAATCTTTTTAATTTTTTTTCTTTTTTGAACCCCTTTTAAGGTTAATTCTGCCTCCGCCACTTGCAACAACAAGATAGTAAGAAAACGAGGCGAAAGTAACAACATGTGGTAATAGAAATCTAACAATAATAAAATACAAGACTAACACTAATATTCTCAACTACCTAGTACCCGTCTACCTTTGAAGTATCTTCTGCCTTGAGAAAAGAAAGAAGAATGAAATTTTTACGTTGTATAGTCGCCATTAAAAAAAATAGCCAATAGATATATAATATATGTAAAATTTGTATATCGACTAGCAGATATAAATTTTTTGACGGAATGGCCAAATGTGTTACTTCCAAAAATGAACAAAATTGTACACAATCCTTGAGGGGTGTAATTACCAATTTGTAAAACTTTAAGGGTATATCTTCCGATAACAAACTCGAGGAAGCTCAAATGCCACTTTATCTAAACCTCACGGTATCCTTGTAAACAAAAATAGAGAGGCGCCCAAATCTCAATTAGGGTTTTGATAAAACCAAAACCCTAGAGCTGCTACGTCACTTGGCTATATATAAGCAACAGACACAAACTCTCTTCTTCATTGGCTCCCTCTTATCCCAATTTCCCATCCCGTCTCCTCCCCTCCGGCGGCCACCGTTTCTTCTCCGGTGAATATTCTGTGAATAGGGTTAGCTGTTCCTATTAAATCAGTTGTGATTTGGTCTTTGAATTATCTTTGTCCATTTGATTCGTTACTATAGCGTAAAAATAAGTTCTGAATTTTTCTTGTTTTTTCTATAAAACAAATTTTGTAAAGGAGATGGAAGTGATGAGTATTTCCCCAGATGATCGAAGCTGAAATTACTGAGCGCTTTTTATGTATTTCTTCCTTTGGGAGATAATCCAAGCCAGATATTCTGATCCATTCTCCTTTCAATTTGACATATGTTTTTCAATATTTTTGATTTCTAAAATTGCATGTGTGAACTTGAAAATTGTACTCATTTTTTTGGAATTTGGGTATGGATATGATGACTATTTCCCCAGATGATCGAAGCTGAAATTACTGAGCGCTTTTTATGTGTTTTCTCCCTTTTAGGGAGAAAATCCAAGCCAGATATTCTGATCCATACCCATTATTCTGTATTTTATATAAGATTAATTTCATTCTCTGTGACTGGTGATCTTGTTTTAAAAAAATTCTAACTTATTTCAGAACATAAACACATGATTTAGGTTTCCGAGTCATTAATTAATTGATTTGTAATACTGACAGAAACTTAAAGGTTTCCCACAAGAGGTCTCTCTTTTTTCCGTAGATAGCTGTTTGTTGCCTTTGGTTTAGTCGTAAGAACACAATGCATTTGAGTTACTGAGAGAGACAAAAGCTTCAAAAACTTGGTATTTAGCTTGAGGAAATAAGGCATGGGAGCTCGTTATTATTAAAGAAATTGTTCGACTACAAGCATGAAAACGGGATAACGATAGACAGATTGGAACACATAGAGTTTATTATCATTAGTTATATTAAGTTTATAGTTTTGCAATAGGCTTTATCATTGAATTTGTGGGTCACTAAGTAATAGCTATTACGTCGGACAAAGGTTTCTCTTCATGAAAATGGGCAGAACGTACCTAAAATCAGTAAGAAGTTAAATGAGCTAACTAAAGTTGCTTTGGGCAAATGTTTAAGCTAAAGAAATTATTTGCTTACTGGGAAAAAATTCTTAAAAAGCAACACTATTCATCACGATGAAGGAAATCTTCATCTATCGTGAAAGGCATTTTACTTAACAATAGTTAACCAATATTCCAAAGAATACTATTAGCAGTCATACACACATTTTCAATCAATATTCCAGTGCAAATACTGTTCAATTTGTTTATGTTGTTAACAATCAATTGTTGTTCAATTTGAACCTAACTCACCAATTCTTGAAAAAGAATATTTGAACCTAGCACACCAAGAAGAAAAATGAAGGGAAAAATATATAAGTCTGTCTTGTTTTCTTAATTATTGACAATTGCAAGAAATAAAAGCGCAATACTCCTCTCAAATGACCTGAAATAGGATTCACACCTTTGTGCTTACGGCTCTTCTGGAATAGTTAAGCCAGCGTAATAGTAACTAATTTGAGGGGAATAAAGTACGGTCAAGCTAGCATAATAACTAGAGAAACAATATTTAAGTTTTGACAAATGATAATCTACCTTATGTTTGAGGATTTTAAGATGGAAAAGTCTTAAAAAGAGGGTGAATGAAAAATGGAGGGAAAATGAAATTTTTGAGTAAAATTTTAAGTTTCTCTCTCGCTCTTCTTATAGCTCTTAAAGAGTTAAGAAGAAGGTAAGCTTAGCGCCGTCATCGCTCACTCGGCTGCAGCTTCGGATTTGGTTAAATGATTGATTGATTAATTTTTTGGACCAAATTTATTTGTTAATTGTGAATATTAACGTAATATTATCCGTGTTTGTAACAGATATTTTCCAATTCGTGGATAGAATCCAAGTGTCCAACCAATTCGGCCAAGTGCATGCTCCATTGTCCATTGGCAGCCTAGTGCTCCATGAGCAAGTGCTCCTTCCATCATGTCAAGTGCTTCTTCCATAACAGTCTAGTGATTGCTCCACCGTGAGTGGTGGCTGGTCATTCTCTTAATAGCTGACTGCACTATAAATATGTGCAGTAGCTGTTAGAGCAAGGACACACAACACAAAAACTGAACGGAAAAAACGGTATAAGAGCTGTTAGGAGAAGGCACAAGCAAAAATGAAATTGAGAGTTGGTTGTCGTTGATATCCTCTTTAGTAAGAACTCAACATCGGCTATAAATTGTAGTCCTTCCTCTCAGAATTTTCATTCGACTTATGAGTTCTCCTCCCTTGTTTTGCATTGTTTTAAACTACAAACAAAACAACCGTAAGTGTGATTTGTTGCCGAACTTTGTGTTCGCTGAAACACTGGGGTTTGAAGTACTGCTACACCAGTGTGTAATTCGTTCTATCCTGGGAGGAAATAATCCATAACCTTGAGTACTAGGAGGGGATTAAATTTCTTAAGGAAATACTGTGAATTCAGTGGGCTCGAATTAATTACTGTTTCATTTATATTTACGTTTATACGCTAACGTTCTTTTCTCTAGAATTATTATTTACAAATACAGCAAGTAAGAAGATAGCAACCAACAAGCTTAAGGAATTTAACATCTTTATTTCTGTATTTGTGGTATACTTACTGCTCTGGAGACTAAAACCTTTGTGGTTTTGTCTACTCCCGCTTTTGGAGGTTAAAGCCTTCGTGGCGTTTTGTTGGAGAACTTGCAGTTATGAAGACTAAAACCTTTGTGGTTTTGTCTACTCCCGTTTTGGAGATTAAAACCTTCATAGCATTTTGTTGGAGATTAAAATCTACGTGATTTTTACTCCAGATTTAAAGCTTTTGTGGCGGTTTGTTGGAGATTAAAATCTACGTGATTTTTTACTCCAATTTTAAAGCCTTCGTGGGGTTTTAGTGGAGATTAAAATCTACGTGATTTTTTACTCCAATTTTAAAGCCTTCGTGGGGTTTTAGTGGAGATTAAAATCTACGTAATTTTTTACTCCAGATTTAAAGCCTTCGTGGCGGTTTATTG